CTGCGAGTCCTACATTGGCCGCTCTTGCGTTGCCAACGTCAACGGCGGTGACCTCACCGGCACCTCCACCACCGTCCTCTCCAACCTCAGCAGCGACACCCTCCCCTCTGCTGATGCTGCCAGCACCAGCCCCGCCTCCAGCGCTGGTCAGGGTAACCTGTAAGCGGTCTCGCTCCGTCGGACTCTTACTGCAGATTGCTTCGGTGATGTTGTCGAGTTTGATGATTCAGACTAGACGAGTTGTTCCTGCTGTTGTACAGCGGAAATGTGTGTTAGCTTAGATTCTATCTTAGCCTAATCAATAATCCTAAGATGGACTTGATCCATAGCAATACTCTATTCAACTGTGATTCAGTAGTTCCCGATGCCAAACCCCACTTTTAGCCTAGTATCATGGCTGCTATTAGATATTAGATGCCTAAGGCCTGAAAATCTCATGGCTAAGGCAATAACATGCCAAGCCTGCAATAGTGCCTGAAGGCAATGTGTTGCTGCCCAAGGCATACATGATAAGTGTATGGATTAACGAACAGAATGAAGAGAATCGAGTCTGTACGTGTGAATCCCGGACAGTATCATGGGCAAGATGGGCAAGCTACCACTATTTAGGTTCCATCGCCACGGTTGGGCCTCGTACACTGAAATGCGTAATTAGACGTTCGCATCGCGGGTGGATGCTATAGATGCATTCGTAGCTTCGAATGGTGGTTTAGGGTGGTAGTGTTTCTTCTCCTTTTCCCTTCTGCTACTCCACCTATTCTTATTCCTTCCGAAGCCTTGCTTGATGTCGTCAGTGGGAGGTGTAATGAATTGCCAGACAACCTCTTCCTGAACTTCAGATAGCTATCCTACCATGCGGGGTTTTCTCCTGTCTGTAGGCACGGGCAGCCCGGACTCCTAGAGTCCTCTTTTGCCTGACACATAAGCCTCACAACGCCTCAACTTCTTCTACTGCTTGCTATCATTGTGCATTGAGCGAGCGGGGCTGTGTGGCGGTACACCATGGCCACGATTGCTTTTGCTGCTCCTGCCAGCTCATACGGCCTTATGAGGGGCAAGTGACTGAGGTACTTGCGCGAGGCTGAAGAACCATTTTAACAGGAGAGTGTCAACCATTCAATTACGATTGCTCACTCACCAGCATGGAATGCCACAATCCTTATTTTGATACATTCCCTATTCGCGGTTGGATCTTTCTGCCCCGCCATGGGTCCCTCACGTCCCGACCTGACTCATGATGACTATACCATCGCATGCATCTGCCCCATGGGCGTTGAGCTTGCAGCTGTCGAAGGAATGATGGATGAGTTGCATCAGAATCTTCCATCCAGCATTGATAAGAACACCTATACATTTGGACGCATGGGAGCACATGATATAGTAGTGGCAGTAATGCCAGAAGCAGGCAATGATCGTGCCGCAGCGGTGGCAACGCAACTATCAAATGATTTCCGATCAATTAGATTCTGCCTCTTAATTGGAATTGGTGGTGGCATCCCGGACCTTGCGAGAGACATTGACATCCGACTCGGGGATGTGGTAGTCAGCAGGCCATCAAATAGGTTCGGAGGCGTGGTACAATTTGATCGCGGGAAGGACCATTCTTACAACCAGTTCGAGCGCACAGGAATGCTACAGAAGCCCACAGATATTCTCCTGTCTACCGTGAAAAGACTGGAAGCCCTCCATGCCCGGGTAGACAGTCGAATTCCTGTCTTCTTGGAAGAGATGCTTGCCAGATTCCCAAAGATGAGGAAGCGAAACTATGTTTATCAGGGAGCCACGAAGGATCAACTGTTCCGGATGGAGTACGAACATATTGGGGGCACTGACTGTGGCGATTGCGATTCAAGCCAAACCGTCGAACGTGAAGTCCGCGATAATTCAACTCCCATGATACATTATGGAACGATCGGATCATCGAATATCGTACTACGGGATAGCGTCAAGAGGGAGATATTGAAAGCTGACCTGGACATCCTCTGTGTCGAGATGGAGGCGGCAGGCTTGATGAGCAGTTTCCCTTGTTTGGTTATTCGTGGCATCTGTGACTATGCGAATTCACACAAAAACAAGGCATGGCAGCCTTATGCTGCTGCCACGGCTGCTGGGTATGCGAAGGAGTTGCTATCTCTAATCCCTCCTCTGAAGAAGCCTTCGAATGATAATGTAGAAGTGGCATCGTTTGCACCGAGACAACAAGCTCCCGCTATTCGAACGTCTAACATGAGAAAATTGATCCATGCGCCGGTCGCTGGTGATTTGATGGCAGGAAGCAAGCTTTTTAGCGATGGGATCTATCATGATGGCAGAATGGGTCGGTGGGTATATAATTGATGATTGAAATTCTCAGTATGCGTGTCTGTAAAGAGCATGTCAGTGATCATAATGACACGTTTTGATGAGTACCTGTTCAGGCGAAGGAGGTTGATAGATCAATGATTTGCGAGGGAGTGAAGTATCAGATACTCCACCTACACAATTGCACTAGTGTACGCATCACATTGTAAGTTGTATTTCAGTGACAAGAGGAAGAAGCTTCGTTAGTGCACTATGATCGATCTTTTTTTAAATTTCTTTTATTATATTATGACATGCCTTGCATCCTCCTGAAAGTGCTGCGCGTTCTTCATAGACAGGGCAACCCATTTACTTCAGCCAAATCCATCCACACTGTGAACAGTCCAGCAACATCAACAGTATCGCGATACCGACGCTGGAATCCCTACTATGCCTATTGAGATTCTACACCGGGTTCCCCAAGGATCCTAAAGGTATGTAGTATTGTACTGTTGAGAGAGGTACTGGACAATGACACCATAGATCATGACAATAGCAACGGATTAGGTAATATGGGAGAGCATGTTAAACAGGTACACAACGAAGAGCATAGAGTCGAAGACAGAGACTTAGTATTAAATCTGTTTATCATATCGCCATTGTAGCCCATGATGTTATCCAACAGGGGGGCGACTTCACTGATGGCTTAACGATTTCTTATGCCTTCCCTACGTATGTTTACTCAATAAAGGCAAAGATAGCAGTATGCACACTATGTCGACCGCTGTTGCGGGCCCCATATATCCTTCTGCTTCAGGGATTCGAGGAGTTGGTCCACCCCCTGTTGGTTCTTGCTCGGGATGGAGGCATCCCCAGCCACCCTAGCGGGACCTGGGTCATTTAGAATCTCAACACGTCGCGTTGAGTTGCGAACAACTTCCAAAATCGTTCCTCCCCCAATATCCTTATCTTCCACGCATCTTAGCATGGCGGATGCGACTTCTTCGGGCGTTGCCCATCCGTCCTTCTCCTCGTCGATAAGCATCATTTTTTCCTGATTCTCGACCCACAATGGGGTACGTATAAGACCGGGGGCCACTGCATTCACACGAACGCCGATTGCCTGCTCGAGGGGGGCCAAACACCGCACGAAGCCGGTAATGGCGGCCTTTGAAGCGCCATACATGGGACACACAACGTTTGGCAGTTGACCTGCCACGGAGGAGATGTGAATAACGCGGCGGGGATTCTGTGGAGAGACGGGAGCTACGTTGGGGCTTGTGGGATGCAGCCAGTGCGACAAGGCCAGCTGGGTAGTTCGGATGGGATGCGTGACGTTGATATCCAGTAGAGCGTATCGGTCGCTGTCCTCTTTGTCTTTGCTTATGGCGGAGCCGGGTGGCTGCCAAAAATTCGACCACGGGGGCTCGTAGACACCGGCACCAGGACAGAGGATATGGAATTCCTCAAACAAGGATAAGGTCAAGTCAAACATGCGTTTCAAGTCGGCCCAAGAGGTGACGTCTGTGCGAATGAAAACTGCTCGTGGGGAGGAGTCGGCGGCCTCATACTTAGCGAGGAGTTGCTCTGCTTCCGGTCGCAGGGCGATGTCGGCTACCACAACATTGCAATTCCTGGATAGCAGGAGGGATGCGAATGATAGATTGATCCCTATCACCGTCAGAAGAGTGCTCCAGTATGAAGAAGAAGGGGAGACTAACCCGAGCCAGCGCCCGTGACAATGGCCGTCTTCCCTTCCACCGAGAAAGGGGTGATATCTTCCGTAGAGGCTGTCATTGTTGCGACTACAGCTGTAACAGCGCAGAATTCCCCGAGTTGCTTGTTACCCCCTTAGTTCCAGTCGAAGCCCAGGACTAAATAGCTGTTTTCCTCCGAGTGCCCATGGGAGCGGGGAGGGGGTGCCGTGTGTGATGCGAGACCAGTTGCCAGCGTGCGGGGAACGAGCAAATCATAACATGCTGGAGAATATCGGGCTTGATCCGACCATCTCGGACCAGATTCCGCGGTTAATTCAAGTCGTTGACTCGCTGTGAGCAAGTTGTGAGGAAGAAGCAGACAGGGACCCATTGGGTGGATCAGGTCAAGGAACCCTGGATGGGTGCGGCGGGCTGGCATGCAGGCGAATCCGACCGGTCGCGATCCACCGATCTGTCAGGCAGTGATCTCATGACAGCTGGGTGAGAAGCTTGATGGCTTTAGAATGCAAACGATCGGCCATTATGAGGTCTGGATCAGAGGAATGGCCTGAATTGAATGAGTGAATGTTTGGAATTGCATTGGAGAGACAAGAGGATGAAGAAGCAGTTGGAGTCTTGGCAAGGGGGCAGTGCTGTTGCTTAAAAAGAGACTCAGCCACACTCCCCAGTCATGCTTTTTCCCAACCCCTTCATAAGGCGAGGGAGACTTCCCGATCTTGTATCTGAAAGTGGATTTCCTTCATCTTTGACATATGAAATCATACTCAGAAAGACCCTGGGTGGGCCAATGCACGTCAATGTGATCATCTCATGTAGTAAGTAAGTAGCAAGTAAATACTCAAAATGCTGATATGTGCCTGTGGAGATTCACGGATCCAGTCCCAAACTCCTTCCCAATGATCATCATTATCATCATGTACTCATTGACCAAGATAGCAGACCACGAAGAAGACCAAAAAAATACTGTCATGAGACTCCCCACGCCTGACTGATCGCCCATCTTTACTGCGTATGCCGCATGTGTATCTCCGTCGTGCGATCCGCCGCCAACACTCGATACACGCGCAGCAGGTCCTCCATTGACGCTTGCGTGTCTGGATGTGTTTTCCCTAGCACCTTCTCCCTGCCACGAACGGCTTGCTCCACGAGCGTCTCGGCTTCATCCCATCGGCCTTGGGACTGGTAGATGGCCCCCAAGTTGGCCATGGTCGTCAGCGTGTGGGGATGGAGTGCTCCGAGATTCTTCTGCATCAAACGCAGCGCCTGCGCGGTCAACGCTTCGGCGCTACCCGTCTTTCCTTGACCCTGATACGTCAAGGCGAGATCCGCCATGGCAGTCAAGGTTAATGGATTCTGCTCACCCAGGCGTGCCTTCATCACAGCCACCGCTCGTGCCCCAAGACTGGCGGCCTCGTCCATCCGTTCCTGGCCCCGGTAGGTGGACGCCAAGTTGATCATCGACATCAGAGTCTGCGGATGCTGCTCGCCTAGATTGATCTTGCTTATCTCTACGACCTGCGTCTCCAGATGTTCTGCCTCCTCCAACCGCCCCTGGTCCCGGTACATCGTTGCAAGGTTTGCCATGGATGTCAGCGTCAAGGGGTGCTGGGTCCCGAGCCGCTTGATACGGATGTCCATCACTTCCGACTCCAACTTCAACGCCTCCTCCAATTTACCCTGCTCGCGATACGTGGCTGCTAGGTTGGACTTCCACATCAAGGTCGACCCATGGTGCTCACCCATCGCACGTGTACATTGTTCCACCACCCTCTTCTCCAGTCGTTCCGCATCATCATATCGCCCCATGTGAGTGTACGTGTTGGCCAGGTTGCCCATAGACGTGAGGGTGGACTGGTCATCCTGGCCGAATCGTCGGGTCTTGATCTGCAGCAGACGAACTTCCAGTGCCTCAGATTGTCGCCAATGCCCCTCCTTGCGATATGCGGTAGCCAAATTGGACATGGAGGCCATCGTGTGGGGGTGGTCCTCTCCCAAGACTTTGCGGCGCGCCTCTGTGACCTGGCGACCCAGATCGATCGCTTCCGCCCAACGGCCCTGACCACAATATCCGGAAACCAGGTTGTGAACGGCGGCCATGGTGATGGGGTCGTTGGGACCTAGCTGCGCCCGTCGGGCGTCGACCACAATCGTTCCGACATCTACGGCAGAGTTCCACTGACCCCGTTCAAGGAAGGCCAGGACTAGCCCCCCGAACCGCTTCAGCGCGATACCGGAGTCACCCCTATTCTCACTGGTGACCTGCTCCACCACCGTCTCTAGCTCGGCGGCTGCATCAGCAAGTCCTTGCTTCCGATACCGTTTCGACAGCGCCCTGAACGCCTTCAAATACGAAGGGGAAAGCGAAACATCCATCGATGTACGGAGAGCGGACTTCCCGCGGATCCCCCAAAATCTTGACAGGAGCTTCAGTAACAATGCGTGGGGATGCTGGGGAATAGTTTCTTTGATCGCCGGGTGGACGGGTGTGAAAATGTGGTAAGGAGGAACCTAAACCGACGGGCTGAGATTAATTAATAATCCGAGGCGTGAGGAGATAACGGCCAACGATCGTGTTCAAAGAGGAGAGGGGAAGAGGGGAGCGGTTTTAGCAGTCGCGAAGACGCTCGGACGACAGACGCGGATGGAGGAAGGGAAGCGGTGACAAGCTGAAGCGCATCAAGAGCCGCTCACGGGAACTGACAGATAGGGAGAGACTTTGCAGACAAGTTCAGGGAGATGACGGGATGACGACGAGCGGACACGCAGATGCAGGATGGAGAGTCTCAAGTCAGAGCATGACCAGATTCATTTGCTGCCGCCAAGCCGCTAGGGTGCTGGAAAGGCTGGAGGATCCCATCCTCTTTCTCCGAGTCAGTTCTGTCGTGCGTGTCGGGGGGAGGGGGGGCGTTGTTGCGTTCCCATCACTTGCCCCGAGGTTTCCGGTTATCAGCCAGGCTCATTCCCTGATTGGTAGGCTTATAAAGGGGCCCCGTTGGAAGCAGTGGACTGGCAATCAAAATCAGTGGAGATTGCACCAGTTGGACGCGATGGATGGGAACTGGGAAGGGCTTCTTTTCCCTTTTCAGCCCTGTCGGGCCAGAAATAGAAAAGTCACGGAAAATGACAGCCGCGATTACCATACCGTCTCGAACACCCACATACCGTCTCATACGGTATTGTTCCCTTCGGTTCAGCTTCAGGTTCTGTCTCTGATGCTGATCCGATTTCCACTCATCTCAGCCTCTCCCCTTCTCTCCTCTCTCTGTCTCTCTCTCTCTCTCTTTCCCTGTTCCTTTTCCGTTCCACTGCCCACCGCTCTCACGGGCCCTCGCCATCTCTTCCCTGCTCTGCGACATCTCTCCCCCCTTAACCCACGTCATCTTCTCCGTCACCGTCGGACTGGAGCCATGATCGTCGGGGTTTAAAATTGGTCAACTCTCATCGACGGAAGCCCGCCTGCCACTTTGCGCCGTCAGCTGTCACCCTCATTCCTCTTCTTCGTCCCTGGTGGTTTCGCCCCTCCCTCGTCGTCCCACCTGTCACCATGTCTCGGCCAGAGTTCAATGATTCCCCCTTGCCGAAAGACTCCCACCAGTACGATCCGGTCATGCAATCGGAGCCCGAGCCGGACTCGCCCGTCGCCTCCTCCTCTCCCATCCGCCATCGTACCCTCCGACAGAGGATCTCTGCCGCCATCGCCAAGTCTGGCTCCAAACCGTTGCTATGCTTTCTGCCTCTAGGTCTTGTGGCGGACGCGCTACACTGGAACCCCGTGCTGGTGTCCATCTACAACTTCCTGGCCGTCATTCCCCTCTCCGTCATAGTTTCAGATTGCTCCGATGAGCTGTCCGACTCGCTAGGCCAGCTCATGGGGGGCTTGATCAATGCGACCTTTGGTAACTGTGTCGAGCTGTCGGTGAGTCTCAAAACCTCTGCTGGACGCTAGCGATGCGTTCTAATCTCATGCCTGTAACTTTCCTAGACCGGCATCTTGGCCCTTTTTCGTGGCGAAATATACTTTGCGCAATCTGTCATGATTGGGAGCATTTTGTCCGATCTCCTTCTCATCCTTGGTTGCTGTCTCGTCGCCGCCTCATACAATACCTTCATCCTCCATTTCAACAAACCTGTCACCGGCGCGCTCGCCTCATTGATGGTGGTCACCTCGGTTGGACTGATTCTGCCTTCAGTCTTGTATTCCACTTTCCCATTCGACCTTGGGGACCAGATCGTAGCGTTTTCACGTGGCACATCTGCTGTGCTACTGGCGCTCTATGGTGGGTATCTATATTTTCAGCTGGGTACCCATAGCCACCTCTTCCTCCAAGGGGAGACCGAGAGCAACTCCTCGCGGGAGTCACAGCGCAGCATGAACTGGCTCACGACAACTCTGATTCTCTCTTCGTTAGCCATAGTTGTTTGCACGAAGAACATCATGGACAGCATTCCTGCAACTGCGGCAAACCTAAATATCTCGAAGACATTCATTGCGACTATTCTCATTCCCATAATTAGCAACAGCTGCGAAGGGGCAGTAGTCATTACTGCCTGTGGTGGTGGTGGCGATGTCAACTTCGCCATCAGTATGATCGTGAGCAGTATCCTGCAGATTGGATTGTTCGCCATTCCCTTCCTAGTCATGCTGGGTTGGGTCATAGGTACACCGATGACGCTATATTTCGAAACCTTCCACACCGTGGTTCTATTCTTCTCCGTGCTGCTGGTGAACTGCATTCTGCAGGATGGGAAGTACACCTATATTCACGGGAGCATGTTGGTCGCTATGTACGTTACTCCGGTAAAAGGTTGTGTTGTTCTACATATGCTAACAGTGATGACAGGTATGCGATTTTGACGCTTGCTTTCTACGTTCGGTAGACAACTACCTTAACATCATAATCTTATCATCTGCGTAGTTGGAAATGCTGTTTTATCTTGGATAACGGACTTTAGGACACATTGGCCAGCGTTATATATATACACATATACATATATCATGTTGATAATGCATAGGACTCAATATCATGTGCTTACGACCGCAACGTCCTTGATGGTGCTCACGCTAGGACACACATAGAAGGCGACTCCCGTGATGATGTACCTATGGTTTCGTTAAAAATGGTGTAAAATTGATGGTTGTATATCTAGGGTATACTCACGTTCCACACAGCATGAGGCCGTCAAAGTAGTTGGCCCGGCCTTCGTGAATCACGTGGCTCATGACCATGGCGGCGAGGAACAGCATGGTCGCCTCGAAATTGTCCATCTGCAGAGTCACCGATTGGCCCAGGGACCAGCCCATGAGGACCAGAGTTGGTGTGACCAACAGGGTGAGGCGTAGAATGCTGTTCAAGATGTTTCGGACGGCCACCTCCACATGGCCCTGGCGCGAGATAACCACAATGGTCAGATATTTGGACACGTTCCCCACCAACGGCACCCAGACCAAAATGGGGAAGCTGGTGCCAGTTCCCCGCTCTAACGCAGCATTGACGTTGTTCACAATGTGGACAACACACCCCGTCAAGCAGGCCACTGCGATGAGAAGAGCAACGCCAGCCGATTGCGGTGTGAACATGACCGGTTCGTGGTCCATTGGCATTCTATAATCGTCTGGGCGGTTTTCGCTGCTGGCGTCGCTCAAGTGCGACTCGGCCGCCCCCTCGGCAATGCGAAACAAGGCCGCATGGGACTTGAGTTGGAAAAGAAGGAAGACACCAAAAAGACCCAGCAGGATGAGGGCGATCCCATACGAAACCATTTGTACCTCATGACTAGTCACCACGGCATTGATGGAGAGGGTATCCAACGAGGGAAATGTGACCATCACGCCGGGAAGCACCAAGGAGATGCATACCATCATCATCAACGATGACATGATGCTAGTCAAGTTGCGATCGAAGTGTAGATGTTCCTTGTCGTAACCAGAAATCAAGAAACAGCTACCAAGCACCTGCGTCAATAATTAACTAACTTGATCCAACTTGCCAAACATAGACGGCTTAATCGCCTACCAGCAGAGAATAGCACAGGATACTGCCAACCACCACTGAGTGGAAGATACGGCCTTGACCCATTTGCGCTGACACAAGGCCAACCATCAGTTCAACTGAGTTACCTAGGGTAGATTTCAGGATCTCGTGAAGAAATGGTCCAAGGGTATGGGACAGCTCGGTGATAGCAATCGTGATGATGGCCATCAGCGGAACCAAGGCGACCAGGTTCAACCAGAAAACCAGCTGCCTTGGCCATCCCAATAGGCCGGAGAGAAGTCCCAGGAGGACAAAGCCAGCAAGTGCTTTCAATACGGGGTGACTACCGATCCTCATAATGGCCAGGTGGAAGGGACTGGTGCGCCCGTGGAGGGGCGCGGTCGGCGAAGATGCGCGCTCAGAGGGAGGCGGCGTAGGAGGATCCGATTCTGCCGATATGCCAGAGGGGCCCTCCATGGTTGAAGAATAGTGGTGGCGGTGCCTCACCGTAGGCATTTCAAAAGAGAGAAAGATGTTCCTCACGGGTTGAGATAGATCAATAGGCTTTTGCTTCTTCTGAGGAAGAGGCGGCGCTTCAGAGGCTCTTTTTGGTTCAGCTGATCGGATGGATCTGAAAGTTAGTAGCTTAACCAGTCTAACCAGCTTACGGGACCTGGCTGTATCCGCGGTAAGGAGTTACGGTACCGTGCTCCCCGAGCCCGAACCAAGCGCTTTCCTGGGCAAGCGGCCCCCTCAGCCTTACAGGGCTGGGTGGCATTTTCCCATTGGCTGCCACCCCCACCTCCCCGTCTGGCCGAGGGGGTATGGCGCCTAGGCACCTCCATTCTGGCCCAATGGACGCTGTGGACTTCCGGCCGGCCCCACCCACCTGTCCGCCCAGTGCGCTCTTTTTGTGTAAACAAACGTATCGGTCACAGCTGACACTGTTCGAACCGTACCTGACGGTATTCGCCAAACGGCCCCGCGCGCCTTACAACTTCGGGGAGACTCTGGAAGGAGATAAGTCCGAGCCAACCTACCTTCTGAGAGATGCTCAGCTTCTTGATGGAACTTTCCTCGTTCACCATTTCATGATGACCCCCTTCAAGAATGCCCAGGGATCGGGCACACCCTCTCTCCTCGCAAGCGTCTGGCATACGGTCGAGGTGACTTTTCTTTCCAGCTACACCAATGTGCTATTAATTTTCGTATTCCTGGGGATACTCTCTGGCTCCCAAGATTGGAACCCCTCCGCCGTGTTTATCCTGAATTTTCTGGCCATCTTCCCGCTGGCCTCGTTGTTGTCCTTTGCGACCGAGGAATTGGCTAAAAGCGTCGGCCAGACGGTAGGAGGCCTGATCAATGCGTCTTTTGGCAATGCCATCGAAATGATCGTAAGACAATTCCCCCCATTCATCGCAAGTGGTACAGGCTAAATATAGCATTCAGGTTGGAATCACGGCTGTGAGCCAAGGTGAGATCCATATGGTGCAGTCTTCGATGGTTGGCTCGATCCTGTCTGGCACGCTGCTGGTATGCCACCCATTACTCCCATGCTCCTACTAGAAGTTCTGACCGTCATCGCCTAGGTTCTGGGATGCTGCTTCTTTGCCAGCGGCTATGATAAGGAGACAGTCCACTTCAATGTCGATGTGACGGGGATCATGTCGTCCTTGATGATTGTATCCTCCTCCGCGCTAATCATCCCATCAACCTTGTATTCCACGTCTCTGTATGCCTCTCCTGGTGGAAACGAGTATATCCTCCACCTGTCACATATTACCGCTGTCTTGCTATTGCTCTTCTATTTTGTCTATCTATACTTCCAGCTCAGCAGCCACTCCCATCTCTTCACTAGCACCGAAGACGACGAAGAGGAGGAGGAGCGCCAGCTGGGACCGTTGGCAGCTAGCATCATTCTTATTGCCGCTACGCTGGGAGTGACTGCCTGTTCCGACTACCTCGTAGAAGGGGTCGATGGCTTTGTTGAAGCCTACGGGGTGAGCCGGGCCTTCTTGGGCCTGATCGTCGTGCCGATTGTGGGCAACGCTGGCGAGTTTGCAACCACTGTGAAAGCAGCCAAGGAAGGAAAGGTGGATCTGGCCATTGGTGTGATTGTTGGCAGCACGCTTCAAATCGCACTTTTCGTCACGCCATTCTTGGTACTGTATGGATGGGCTTTGGGTCAACCGATGTCGTTGCGCTTCAACTCGTTCGAGACTGCCTGTTTCTCGCTGGCGGTGGTGGTGATGAATTGTCTGATTCGTGAGGGCCGGTCTAATTACTTTGCGGGTGTCTTGTTGTGTGGAACGTGAGCTTCCCTGTTCCCTCTCTTTCCGAAGCAGCCCTTTTTTCTAATCTAAGTCTAGTTATCTGATCATTGCGATCGCCTTTTACGTCCACCCAGATATTGTCGTTCCCGGAGAGTAAGTACCCCGACATTAGGTATGGTATTCGGTAGCCCGTCTACACAGGGATATGACTTGTCAGGGGATGATCCATCAATATTTTGCTATAGAGTTTTTATACCATTACACCGTCTCTCAATGCGATCATTATGTTCGACACGTTGGATACTTCTAATGCCTTAAGGACGGAAATCCGACGGGCAAAAGATGCTGCCGAGTAAATTAGGCAAAAATTACAGGTCGGCCAAGCGGGGAGGCCGAAGATTACCGGCGGGGGTTACGCGGCTGCCTTTTTGGCCCGTATCATCAATACCGACCAATACGAGGGATTTGGGAGTGTCTTTGCTCCGCCCCAAACAAGAAAATCAAGCAGCATTACTAGTTTAGTTGGAGGGATCTCACTCTCTCCATCTCCTAACTCCTTGGTCTCCCCTGATTTCATCTCATTCTTCCTCACTTTGCCCAGAGAAGGCGATTTAACTCCACATTCCTGACTATCTTGAATCTAGCACTTACCTCAATCGTGTAATATCTTCTTTTCCCGCCGGTCGGACCCGTCCGCAATGACAGTAACGACCATCTGCTTGGTCTAATTCAAACGCCATACACCCACGGTAGCATGAACTCCCTGTCACGGTCATGAAGGAGGCAGGTAAATCCATGATCACAAATCCCATGTCCATTAGTGATCCACCCCAGACCCTAGCCAGCTATAACTATAGAGCCAATCAGTGGCTAACATGATCGCAGAGCCTGAGCGAGAAGCCTGTCATCGCCCATGGACCACTGGTCCGGGGCGAGCCCAGCGCATTCGAGTTCTCGGCTGAGCAGTTGAGCGGGCTCATCGAATCACGAAGCCTGGATACCTTCTACACCTTTGGCGGCCTCCGCGGATTAGAAAGGGGTCTGCGAACCGATCGAAATACCGGATTAAGCGTGGACGAGTCGAGCGTCAGGAACCATGAACCATCGGCCACAGCCTCGTCCGTCGACAAACCTTCCCACCAACCCCATCATCGCCACATTCACCTCCACCATCACCATGGCACCGAACAATTCGCAGACCGACGCGCTGTCTTCGGCAACAACCGCCTCCCCGTTCCCAAGTCACCCACGGTCCTGCAGTTGATATGGGCGGCATACAATGACCACGTCCTCTTCCTCCTGACAGGAGCGGCCATCATCTCGCTGGCCCTAGGCCTATACCAAACATTCGGAACTAAGCATTCGAGCTCAAACCCGCCTGTCGAATGGGTAGAAGGGGTAGCGATCATCGTTGCCATCATAGTCATCGTGCTGGTGGGCGCTGGCAATGATTTCCAGAAAGAGCTGCAATTTCAAAAGTTGAACAAGAAGAAACAAGATCGCCTTGTGAGGGTAATCCGCTCCGGCCGGCCACAGGAGGTACCTATCAACGATCTGGTGGTCGGGGATGTCGTACACATGGAGCCAGGAGATGTCATACCGGCCGATGGAATCCTGATTCGTGGCCACCACATTCGATGCGATGAATCAGCTGCGACCGGTGAGTCAGACTTGCTGTTGAAGCAGTCCGGTGACGAGGTTGCAGATGCGATCGCCGATTGCCGTGATACTAAATACCTTGACCCGTTCGTGATCTCGGGGTCCAAGGTCGCAGAAGGCCTCGGCTCATTCCTGGTAATAGCAACCGGCAACCATTCGACTTATGGCAAGATCCTCCTAAGTCTGGAAGAAGACCCTGGCTTCACACCACTGCAGTCGCGACTCAACGTATTAGCGAAATACATCGCCAAATTTGGCGGTATTGCCGGTTTGGTCTTGTTCGTCATCCTGTTCATCAAGTTCTTGGTTGGTCTGCGCCACTCGACGTCGTCCGCGACCGAAAAAGGCCAGGACTTCTTGGAAGTTTTCATCATTGCTCTGACAGTAGTTGTCATTGCTGTGCCTGAAGGACTTCCGTTAACCGTGACGCTTTCTCTTGCCTTTGCCACCACCAGGATGTTGAAGGACAACAACTTAGTGCGACAGTTGCGCGCCTGTGAGATCATGGGCAATGCTACCGACATCTGCTCGGACAAGACTGGGACCTTGACCCAAAATAAGATGACCGTGGTCGCAGGTATTATTGGCACAGAAGAGTTCTCAGATTTAGGACTACAGACGGACGCCCCTTCGCGTGACGTTCCGACTACTGCTGTGTTGAAATCTCGCCTGCACAATTATGTGAAATCACTAATTGTAAATGCGGTTGCTTACAACACCACGGCGTTCGAGTCGATAGCGGATGGAAATGTCACCTTTGTTGGATCTAAGACCGAGGCTGCTTTGCTGTATTTCGCCCGAGACAACATGGGCTTGGGCCCATTGGAACTGACACGATCTGGTTATGAAGTTGTGGAGCTCATACCCTTTGATGCTACGCGCAAGTGCATGATCACTGTGGTATGCTTGGATGATGTTAATGGGTATAAGCTGTATAGGGCGTATATAAAAGGAGCGCCCGAGGTATTGATGGGGTTCTGTAACAGGACGCTGGTGGAACCGACAAAAGGCGATTCCGTTGCCGCATTGACTGCAAGTACCAAGGAAGCTATACGCCAGAAGGTAGAAGCCTACTCAAAGTGGTCGCTAAGGGCAATCGCGTTATGCTACCGAGATTTCGAGGTGTGGCCCCCGAACCGAGCTGGAGAGATTCAGTCCGACACACTCGACCTCGAAGATATACTTAGCAACCTGACTTTGATTGGAATTGCCGGTATCCGTGATCCTTTGCGGGAGGGGGCTCATGACGCCGTGGAGACTTGCCGTCGGGCGGGAGTGACGGTGCGTATGGTCACTGGAGATAATCTGTTAACAGCGCAATCTATCGCCGAGGAATGCGCGATTGTCACCAACAACGAGGACATTGTCATGGAAGGACAGGAATTTAGGCGCCTGACAGAGGAGGAACAACTAGAGATTGCGCCTCGTCTGAAAGTTCTGGCGCGATCTCAACCAGAAGATAAACGTACGCTTGTGCGTCGACTGAAGCAGATTGGGGCAACGGTTGCCGTCACTGGAGATGGAACAAATGACGCTCCGGCACTCAAAGCAGCTGACGTCGGATTTTCCATGGGTATCTCGGGAACAGAAATTGCTCGCGAGGCTTCCGCGATTGTGTTAATGGATGATAACTTTGGCTCGATTGTGAAGGCGATCATGTGGGGTAGGGCAGTCAGCGATGCGGTTCAAAAGTTCTTGCAGGTAAGTCGTCCGATTGAAGATACTCTAATTCTCGGTGCGCCAGCTGACCGCCTGGTTTAGTTCCAAATTACTATCACCTTTACCTCTGTCGGACTGGCCTTCGTCACATCTGTGGCCAGCTCCAGCGAAACATCAGTGCTGACAGCCGTGCAACTGATGTGGGTAAATCTAATCCAAGATACCCTGGCAGCACTGGCTCTCGCCACCGACCCGCCGTCTCCCAGAGTGTTAGACCGAACGCCCGACAAGAGAACTACTCCCTTGATAACAGTGCCAATGTGGAAGATGATAATCGGGCAGTCGATATACCAGCTCGCCGTGACATTAGTGCTCCACTTTGCCGGTAACAGCATATTCTCATACACCACCGCGCACGAACACTCTCAGCTACAAACAGCCGTATTTAACACATACGTTTGGATGCAAATATTCAATCTATACAAGTATGATCCATTCCTCCACATGTACTAGTTGACGCAGTGCTAACTATTCGCAGCACCCGCGCCCTCGGCAATAACATCAATGTCTTCGAAGGCATCCACCGTAACTGGCTCTTCGTCGGTGTTAACGTTATCATGATCGGCGGACAAATAATCATCATGTTCGTAGGCGGGCGCGCATTCTCCATCACTCGACTTACCGGCGTGCAATGGGCCTACTCTGTTGTTTTGGGTGTCTTATCTCTTCTTGTCGGGGTAGTAGTGCGTTTCATCCCGGATAGCCTCGTCGAGCGATTATTTGCGGGTGTAGGATTTGTTATGGGTCCCTTGTGGCGGTTATTGAGGGTGAAAATTGAGTAGAGGGATTGTTTATCTTTTATCTTGGCAGAACTTGTACATATTGAATTTTCTTTTTCTTTGTTGATAGTTTTGGGTGGGTTGGGAAGAATGGGTTATTCTTCACTTCTTTGAGGTCAATCTATACAGACTTTTCTCGACTCGCTTAATGGTCCTTCTCCCTTAGAACTTCGATGCTGACGGACCTAGTATGGAGATAAAACTGGCTTAGCTGGTTACAGGAACTCATCATGCTCATGGTGAACCCATGTAATGACTTAAGAAGCGGATGACATCTGGTCATGATGTACATACATATATATATTTGAAGTAGAACTACTGACCAAGCTTCCCCTCAACAGTGTGTATAGCTCTTCTAGATATATATATCTTACTACTACAGTTCTCGACTTGTACCAAAAGTAACCGCAACGAAGAACAAATAATCAAAACTATGGTCGCGTGTTTTGGTTTATTATTCGCCAGCTTGACGTGACGTCACTGTAAATGGGCTGACTATCACATGATCAGCACTACCAATTCTCTAGACCAATACCCAACACATGACATTACAGAACTAGTGCTGCGCGTCCGGACGAGACAAAGATACTGTACTAATGGTTGCACTTGCCCATATATATACATTCTCTAATCTATCTTCCCAACCATGAACGCATATTAGCAACAAGAATCATACTAACAACGCTAACACGTGATTAATTTCGAAGACGTCTGATCAACAAATGTCTCCGTCCCAGGCTCTAGATTGGCAAACAACTTGTCAAAAATTTCCTTGCCTCCTTGATCATGCACGAGTCCAATCCAAATAAATGAGGAGAGGATGGCCCGCATCTCCTCCCACGAGCGGACACGACAGCTTCCGAGGTAATACAGCAGCCAGTGCCGGAAATTCCGCCTGACGGCGGGTAAAAACACCACAAGACCACCGACAGTTAACAACCAGATCCAGAGTTGAGGAGAGACATCGTTTCGCTTGGCTAAGCCATTTAAGCAGCGCTGGTACGAGGCAGCCAGGTGGACGTACGGGGTCGGGTCGCTACGAAACTGGAGGAAGATGTCAAATCCATAGCTGAGTAAAGCTAGGCGGATCGCCTCGTCGAGGGACCCGGGCTCAAAACTCATGTGTAACAGAGGATACATGACGGAGGCCATTGTTTTCATGAAATCCGTCTCTGGAATCATGTCATTCGTCTTGGTGGTCAAGTTGACCTGGGTACAGAATCCCTGCATAATGTGCCACATCCGCGCGAGACCGGGGTCAAGCTCCCGGACGAACGACGGGATGGGGCGAGATTGCGGCGTGAAGCAAAGGTCGGATGGGACAAAGATGTCGAGATCGCGATTTTCGAAAAAGGCAGGTTTTTCTCCACTGTGGATCGCTAGTCCCACATCGCATCTGATCACAGGTTAGGTTACAGCCATCGAGGTAGTCTAATACAAAAGGGGAATATAATAACTGGCAAAAACAAACGAGAGATGAAATAGAGAGAAGACCCACCTGATAAGGTCAATGACTAGTTTGTTATTGGATGTAAATGCTCCTAGTCCCCCGCGCAGCCGGACCATCTTGCGTAAACCCTGGGTATGATGTACTACGGCAGCGTAATCCTCCACGATATGCGCGTGCAGAATCAAGATAATGACGACCATTACCGTTGCATTGGACACGCGTACCTGCTCTTCTCCGAGCCGATTCCGTAGCAGGCGGATGGCTTTCCCCAGATGAGGGGACTGGGTCGCTTCCGGCCCCCTGTAGATACCAAAGTATGATTGGGTGGTGATGACCATGGCGTTGAGGTAGGCTGCGTCTAGTGACAGCATGTCGAGAACCCATGATCGACTAGAGGAGTTGAACACTATGCATACGGCAAGCGGGTAGAACTCTGTCTTCGCCCGTTCAGTGACTATGAGGGTTTACATTTAGTGGGCCCGATTGGATCACCAGCAGGTGGAATCGGGGACGAGGCACCTACAGCGAAGGATGGTGGCTAGGGCTGCAGGGCTGGTGGTGTCATCAGCCAGCCGGACGAAGGACATGTCGTTGCCAACTCTGCGGGGAAGATCTGACGCCGCGCGGGTGGCTGATACTTGTGTAGATGGCAATAATGGTAAATCCACCGCATCGGCAGGAGGAGCCGAAGTGTCGTCTGTGCACGCGTCCGCCGGAGTCGATGGGTCGGCCCCTGCTTGGCGATAGCGGGATTTGCCACGGTTCTTGCCAATCATGACATGGCTGCGAATGAGTTTGCGGGTACGAGGATCGACTTTCTTGGTGCCGGTGGAGACGATGAATGGCATGTCCGCCATGGAAACTACTGTGCGAAAGAGGTAAGAGAGGCATTCAGTGGGCTAAAACAAAAGCAAGAAAAACTTGGTATTGGAGACGGCGCACATACCAGACTGCTTGGAGGGCGACATGGCGGCGATCGAGCCCCAGTCTAGGGACAGAGGGCGTCCGGCGCACGTCCCAGACTGGTGGGATAGATCTCACGAGGATGGCCCAAGAACAGGTGCTTGGACGAGGCTAAACGAATGGAACGAACGAGTATTCAGATTGTTGGCTGAAAAGGGCAAGCAATCCGGGGGGAATCGGGAGTGTCAGGAAATATAAGAGACGGATTCCTCGGTGGTGAGAGAGCTGGACTTGCTGCGGGCTGCCCTTAGTACTTTCCTTTCCTGGTTGGTTCGGATTGTTTCCGCTGTCACCTGCTGGTATTGCTATCATTTAATTGGACGATATCCTACATGTGGGCCTAAGATTGTTGCCTCCTTTGGGTTTAGCCTGACAAGCATGTGATACAGCTTGGCAATGAATTGAATCGGGAAAAATAATCTTAGTCTCGTTCAAAAATCTACAACTTCAATATATATAGTGAGTAGCAAGCAATGTTCAATTCCCTATCTTCTTGTACTACTGCACATATTGCCACCTTCTTAGATACACGAATACCGGCCCCTTCACCAATTCAGACTAGCATTAATAGAGACCGATAATCCCTTGCATTCCCACGCGAGAACTATTCCTCCATCTTCTTGCGTTTATGGTAGGCCTCTGCCTGTCGTGCAAGATGACGAAATCCCTTCTCGATCTGCTCGTAGCTCCGCTGGGACAACTCCTCGCCCTTGATTGCCAGAGGGGCTTGAGTGTCCCCGCAGGGAATGCTGTAGATCCACCGCACAAACAGTTCATAATTCTCGCGACAATTCTCGGTGAAATCAATAAACTTGCTTTTCGAGATGCGAAGGTATTCTCCGTCGTGATACGCTTGCAAAATTCGAGCTTGAGAGCGGAAGATGGAAACGACCAGGACCTGTGATACAAGCAGTGTGTTAGAGCAGGTATTTGTAGCATTCAATGATTTATGGCTGCTTGAATGCTGTGAATGAGACTCGGAACTCATCATGGTACACTGCACTCACCGGGAATGTGCGATGGTTAATATAATTGAATCGATTCAGCCGCCATCGCATGAAACCGACAATGGGCAGGACTTCACTCCGGCGAAGGGGTTCTTCGGGATCAGCGTAGTTGTACATCTGGAAAATGCAATGGGGGATATCCAACGAATCTGCTTCCATTTCCCCAATAGTCTGCCATGAATACGGTACATCTGGCGTATGCTCGCCACTAGCAATTCGGGGATTTGCGCGGTAGCATCTACCCACGAGGCGAACAAGTAGTGTGAGCAAGAAGACAATTTCCATCGTCACAAATCGGAAGGGTTTGTACTTACTGCCGATGGACCCAGGGTTGGGGCTTGCGATCACGAAACCATGCAGCAAAGACTCTGCCGGAAACACTTTGTAGGGTCAAACAAACCCGGAGTGACTCTTCGGCGCGTCCTTCATGCCATTTTGAAAAGTGCACATTGTCCCAGTTAATCTCCGGTAATTCTGCTTTCGGTAGTGGGTGGTAAAATGACTGTTGGACATCTGAACATGCTCCTTGAAGGTCGAGTTCAAACAACTTGATCCCCAGTGTCTCCAAATCATGATCTGCCAACACTGAGTGCTTGAAGGCCTTTGTTGCTGTGAAGATGCGCCTCAAATGGCGGGATACAACATTGGTCTGGGCTACCCGGAGTCGAGCGTCTTCACGACAGTCTTCGATTAAGGTCTCGAAGGACCGTTTCACTCCCATAATTGGATCTATAGGAAAGGAGAATGGTCGATTTTGTGTGACAACGCCGAACGCGTGGAGGAGAGAAAGAGCAATATGAACAATACAGTACGCGTGGAATTGGTATAGAAACGTGAAACGTGGCTGTACCCCAGTCCTAGTTCGGAAATTTTCCTGATCGTAAAAATGTCGAGATGGCAGCGTGAACTTAGGACGACGGATAGCAACTGGCAAGGGAGAGCAGCGAAGCACTTGCAGACCTTTATACCTGAGACAGTAGTAGAGAGAACCAGTGAAAGTGACTTCGCACACAGAGCCAGCCTAATTGGAAGAGAAATCCAGGCCAGTGAATTCAGAAGGTAGTCAATATAGAGGGTACTAATTATACACAGATCCTGCCTTGGTTCCTAATTTGTGCATTCACCCTTATGCAGATGAATTCAATAAAGGCCGCCTCATCATTCAACATGCTGGTCTCTTCACCATGTAGGCTTGGACAAGAAAAGTTCTATCACAGCCATGCAGTCACTGATCTTTCTGCTTCAATGCATCGTTGATATGCTTTATTCACCCATGGCATGTAGTACTATATAAAATAATATGGCACCACTGAGCCTGGTCTGATACTTTAAACTTGGGTTCATCCATCTCTGGCGCCTTTTCACACGGTGCACTACCTGCTTCCACATTTATATTCTGTTTCAGGCTTCAGGAATTGTTTCTTCTTCAGACCAAGATTTCTGTGCTATAACATGTCTGTTCCTGAATTCGTTGTAGGGGCTCTGGATCAGGAGTCCTGGAATGAATGGGCAGAAAGGTACCAGGTAAAAGGGGTAAGTATCTATGAGTTGGAAGCCTATGATCCAGCATCAAAAATAAGTGACCCCCAATATCTAGCTCTGAGGGCATTGTGGAAGGTTGGGCGGGCTAGTGAGTTCCAACCAGACAAATGGGGAATCCAGGGCGTTGAGGCTGCTACGGAGAAGCTGGGGAAGCTCAAGCATTGGAAAAGCTTCCTTGAGGCGATTTCACTAGAGACCAATCTAGATGAAATGCTTCCCATACAGGGTGACCTTGGCGCTTTTACGCTGATTTGGTATTATGGCCAGCTCATTCGCTGGGCGCCGAGTGCGGCCGATACAGAAGAAAACGCCAATTTCACTCCATGGTCCGAGCGATTGAGGGAGAGAAAGAAAGATTCGAGCAGCAAAATCTTTTCCGAGCAAACTCATACACATCCTTATGCGACTCATCTGGCTGAGTACCTGAAGATATATGGAGATCCGGAAAAGCAAAGGAAAGGAACATGTGGACTACCATCAAGCAGTGAGAGTCAATTCTACCAGTCTTCCAAAACTGCCTGCATTGATCTAGACCCCGAAGCATGCAGTGATGACTCTAGACTGGATCCAAGCTACGAGGAGCGGAAAGACTTTCCACAAGTCTCTGATGAGATTATAGTTAATGCATACTTGCTGGGTCTGGCAAGTGTAGTAACCTTCTCTATCGAAGGCGTCGAAGCCCACTGGACCCCAGAACGGAAGGGGTACAAAGTCTGTGATGAGAAAGGCATCAAGCTATATGAAGCACGGACGGATGGTCATATGTACCTAAATGGTAATGGAAAGACCAAAGCCATTGTCGAAGTCAAACCTGTGGTGCGAGCCGAATTACCCCGGGTTATGATGCAGGAAGTTGCTCAAATGGCGGCATGGATCCACGCCGAAAAGGACGTTATACAGGATGAAAATCTGACGGAACAATGGTTAGTCACCCCTGCACCCAGTGTGTATGTTTACAAGTCTCTTACGACAAGTGAGAGAGAATGTGGAGGAAGCAGCTAAGTATTTGACTCCATAGGTTCCGTCGCTTGCTCTGGTCGATGAATCGACATGAGCTATATATAATCATTGCCGAGTATAATGGAGACTACGTCGACTATTTGACGAATCCTCGACGCGAAGCGGAATGCGAATCTTTCATGACGATGAACCAGTTTGGCCCATGGGACATTAGAAACTCCGCTCAGGTTGCTGAATTTGCTGCCATATTAGTGGCAGTAACTTTACAGTTCAGTAAGGGTCTGCCCCTTATCTGAAACTCAATTGGAGATATTCAGTCTGCACTGCTTGGTTGCCCTGGTGTCTGTTGGTTTCAAATATGCGGCTACTTTTTGAAGCGAGAACTCAATCGGCTGTCATATTGCATGAACCAACAGAGATGTATTATTCTACAGTACCTCCACTGCCCGCCGCTTATATATCGATGGCCGCATACCTACATCTTTTCCTATCAATTGCCCGATAGATACACAGCTCATTGTACTGTTACGAGAAAGTAAAATGCTTTCTTAAGAAACCTGCCTCAGATTACTATCGCAACGGGATGAATGGAACCAGTATGAACAATTACCCTACATTGCTATCAAAAGTAAAATGGGACCCGAATATTATTAGTCGATTCCGCAGCGTCAACACTAATGAAGAAATCTGAAGGAGCAGGTCATGCTTCGGAAGGGGAGCCGTGGCAGAGCATTAGCCAACAGGCCCTTCACTCATCGATCAAACCACCATTTCCAATTAAGCTGCAAATGACCTCCACTCAGCCGAAAATGTAAATCGGTCCAGATCCACGATGTGCGGGGTAAGATGTGGCCCGCTGCGGGTTCCGAGAAGTTTGAGGGAGTCACAGCGCGTATACCATCCCTGTCACGCTATAACCTTAAATGCTTGCCGCTCGCTCACTGTGCCTGGGTCAATCACAATCTCACCCCCTTAACCTCATTTACCCACTTTCAGCACACCATGCACATTGTCTGGCGGGATTCGGCTGAACCAGCTGTCTACGAAGAGGCTCGTGTAGGTCGCGTATTCAATCACCGTCGTCCCCAACGCTTTCCCTTGGCAGTTGTCAAAGCTACCAGCACAAAGGATATCATCGCTGCAGTGAAGCTAGCCACCGAAAATAACTGTCGCGTTGCTATACGATCGGGAGGACATTCATGGGCAGCATGGAGTGTCCGCGATGAATCCATCCTCATTGACCTGGGGAACTATAAGCACTTGGAAGTGGATGCCGAGAAGCGCATTGCAATAGCCACTCCCAGTATGACGGGGAAGGAGCTCAATGGAGTTCTGATCAAGGATTATGGTTTGATGTTCCCAGGCGGACACTGTCCCGACGTGGGCCTGGGTGGCTTTCTGCTACAAGGCGGAATGGGATGGAATTGTCGTGTCAGTTAATGCGCTCCCACCATTGTAGTTCGACTGGCTAATAAGTGTTCGACAGAATTGGGGCTGGGCCTGTGAACGAGTTCAGGCAGTGGATGTAGTGACAGCCACAGGCGAGCTGCTTCACTGCAACGCCACCCAAAACCGCGATCTCTACTGGGCAGCCAGGGGAGCTGGTCCTGGCTTCCCAGGTGTGGTGACGCAGTATCATCTGGAACTAATTCCATATCCTAAGGATGGTTTCCGCTCGTCTGGCTATGTCTATCCCATTCGACAGTACCGACAAGTCTTTGACTGGCTGCTCTCCATCACTCCTAGTTTTGACGAGGACACTGAAATCGCCGCTGTGGCCGCGTACCCAGAGGGGATTGACGAGCACTGCTTCTTTGTCCTATTTGTCGCCATGAAGGCAACCCCTGAAGAGGCCGAGAAGGCTTTACGCCCAGCGCAGATCACCAGGCCAACGGGGGCGATCCAGGAGTGGTTCTGTCAGGTGGATAGCCTGGAAAATCAATACACTAATCAAGCCAAAGCTAATCCGGAGCGACACCGGTACTGCGCCGAAAACGCCTATATTCGAAATGATGCCGATGTTCCCGCCGTGCTGGAGGAGGCGTTTACGACACTGCCCCACAAGAAAGCGTTTGCCCTCTGGTACGCCATGTATCCTTGCAGCCGTCGGAAACTCCCCGATATGGCATTGAGCATGCAGTCAGACCATTACTTTGCGCTCTACACGGTTTGGGAAGAAGAGAAGGATGATACGAGATGTCAGGCGTGGGTGGCTGATGTGATGAAGAGAGTCCAGCAATTTGGAGTCGGGTCTTATCTGGGCGATGCGGACTTTCAGGTGCGAAAGACAAAGTACTGGGCCGATGATAATGGTCGACGGTTGATGGACATCCGCCGCAAATGGGATCCTCAGGGGCGTATCTGTGGGTATTTGGACAAGGATGATCGGTCTGGAACGAGAGGGCTGGACAATGCCAAGGAGTCGAAGTTGTGATCGTTTATTGTGTTACGTGGCTGTTTGCTTGCCGGATAAATATTTTCGAGGCTTATTTGTTAGTCTGGAACAATTAGTCTCAGATTGGTGCTTGAGAAATCGGTCATGTTGTACATAAGTTGAAGAGTGCCAGATGTAGATATACTATATTAGCAATAGACCACCCACTGTGAGATAATTAGTCTAAAGCAACTATGCTACAACAGATCGGGCTGTGGAGACATGTAGCCCTGGCTTGGTGAATTGTCCGATGTCACCTATTTTGTAGCTCACAGAAGACCCATTACGACTACTAGTAGGCCTGTTGGTATTACCCAACAGTGTGATACTTGAGTAGCTAAGCAGTTAACTCCAATATGCTTTTCTTTTTTCTACGGTGTCCAGTCTCCGATGTAGAATAGATTAAGCGCGGACCACATTAGGACGCAACTATTGGGAGCTTCCGCTATTCCTACCTTAAGTCAATCATACACACAAGAGAAACTCAATGTCTCTCGGCTTTCCGGGGCAATCGAATTAGTTCAAGTCGGGTTGTGGAGAGCGAAAGCACGAGGAACTGCGGGCGGCGGGAGACACTCGGATAGCGGGGGGGGTGATTGATCACCAAGCGCCGGGACGTTGAACCGAACCGATCATATATGGCAGTCGGGAGGAACACAACTGCTCAAGATTATATCCCACACACCATGTCTCCTACTAACAGGCTGGATCAAATCAGCAATCACATCTCGCCCAAAATGGTTGAACAAACTCTCCTCCACAAGGTCGCTATCGTCAGCGGCTCG